TTTTTTGAGGCAGGGTCTCCCTGTAGCCCCAGGTGGCCTGGAACTCACTATGTAGACCAGGTTGGCCTCAAACTCACAAATAGTGAGTTTGCCTCTGCCTCCCAAGTGCTGGGATTAAAGGCGTGCGCCACCACGGCCCCAGTAACTGTTAACTCTTCTAAGCTTCAGTATCCTCTTTTGTAAAAGTGAGAAAGAATCCTATTTGGTCACAATTCCACTAAAATGACTAAATAGAATGGTATCTATAAAGTGTAATCCTGTAACCGGGAGCCTATGTGCCAAATCAGGAACCAAGATTATTCACAAATGTATGCAGTATTTAAGTTCCTTTCCCTTGTATCTTACCCACTTGTTTATTTTAAAAGGAGCCTCACATTGCTTTAGTCAGCATTGATGGAGTTTAAGGACTAAGCAATGACCATACAACAGTACATATCCTCTGAGTTCTCAGAAGAATTGGTTCACCACCTCCATCCTGCTCTCCCTGAGGAAGAATAGGCACATGCACAGCACAGAAGTCTGTGCTTGGAAAACAGAGGCAAACACCAAGTTCAACTGGCTAGCATCATGTCTCCCCTGTACAGAAAGGAAACAAACACAAAACAGCAAATCTTACCTCAACAGGGGGTGCTTCTCCCAGCAACAGGTTATTAAAAATGGTAGCATAATCCCCATTTAAATTCATCAGTTCCTCATGGGTACCTCTTTCTGTGATACAGCCCTCTTTCATGAAGATCACATCATCACAATCAACAAGGTACTGGAGACAAAGGAAAAGTAGTACTGATACTTGTGAAATACATTCAAATATCCAGATCTGAACTTGGTATGACTCAACCAGAGATGATGTAGCTGTCCAGGGCACATTGGGCAACATCTGAAGTTATCCAATGTAAGGGGGAAGAGATACCACCAGCATATAGTAGATCAAGTCTGAATGCGCAGAGCAGCCCACCCCACCCCCAAGCAAGAATCCGAATCATCAATCAGTCTACAATGTAAATAGTGTCGAGACTCAGCTTTGCTTTAGTTTACTGTGCCCTATTATATGGGTCAGAGAGTATTTATGTTTTCTGATGGTGGGGCTGCACAAACCTTCCCTTAAATTTAAAATCCTGACCAGGTATGGTGGTAGCACAAGTCTTTAACCCCAGCACTCAGGAAGCAAAGGCAGGTAGAATGCTGTGAGTTCAAGGCCAGCCTAGCCTACATAGTAAGTTCCAAGCCAGGGCTACATAGTGAGGCTCTGCCTCAAAAATAAAATAAAATAAAATGAAATAAAATAAAAAGAATTACAGGCTTTCTGGAGCGAAAGGGGGAATTGGGACTCCAAACTTGACAACCTGGATGGCAACACATTTGAGATCTCTAAAAATGATAGCCTTTCATGGAATAACAGAAGGAAAAGCACTTGTTTCCCACCTTCAGATGTTGAAACAGGGCTTCCGATCAGACTACCTCACAATCAAAGTGAACTTTGAGTTGCTTTTCTCAGCCCTTCTATTGCTGATCTATATCCACAACCTGGTATGTTTCAAGGATCTGATTCAGATGGCCAAATGAGGGTCTGCCACAGTAACTTTCCTGGCACAATTGGTCGGGAGGCTATTTGCTGAGGAATGAAAATAATTCTAGGAATCTCTAGTTATCTCACAAAGATAACTAGACCAAGCCCATCTTTCTGTGTCTGATTTCCCAAGCCAAGGTGGGCAGCCCAGAGAAGAGCGTATCATACCTGTAACTGGTGTGTAACAAACAGAACTGTCTTAGATTTGAGGTGCTTCCGGATAGCACTGTTGAAGATATGGTTGCCTACATGGGCATCTAAGGCACTGAGGGGGTCATCCAGGATGTAGATGCTTCTGTCACTATACAAGGCCCGTGCAAGGCTGATTCTCTGGCGCTGGCCACCACTCAGGTTGGCTCCTCGTTCTCCAATCTACAAATCCAAAAGCAAAGGGAACCTTTTAACTCAAGTCCAGAACAGTGCTTCTCCCTACCCAAACTGATACCTTCTTTTGAACTCCCTGCCTTAGATGAAGTACCACTGTGATCCTTCTAGGAACTGAGGGAGTCAGCCCACAAAACCAGACCTATCTGTGGTTTTGTCACCTCCCTCTACAGAAAGACCTTTCCAAAACAAAGTTAACCATACCTCATCATTGCTTAAAACTCTTTAAGAACCCTGAAAGAATCTTAACACCCAAACACAGCTTGTAACCAGGCCCTTTCCCCTCAGGTCCCCAGCAGGCAGCTATCATGCCCACTATACAATCCCCCATCCATACCCTGAGATTTAAAACAGTGTGTACATTATGAACCCACAGGACATCATGCCTTGTTCTGCACTGTGCCTGCTCAGCTAGTGGCATCATCCCCTTTTGGGAAACTCTCCCAACCTCTTCTCCACTCACATCCACAGAAAGGGGGTTCTTTTTTTCCCAGATCATTTTGTGCCTGTTTATCTGGGGTCTCCTTAACTGTGAGCTCTTATGCATGTGGACTATTGTCCTGTTCCTTTATATTCCCAGTGCTGAGCAGCTGCTGCACACGTCACTAGAGATTCACTGGTGTGCACACATACCTGATAAATGTTACTATGTGAGCAAATGAATAAATCAACTATCAAATGGTAACTGGGTTTTTTTTTTAAAGAAAATATTCTGGCTGGAGAGATGGGTCAGTGGTTAAGAACACTGAATGTTCTTGCAGAAGACCCGGGTTCGAATCCCAACACCCACATGGAGGCTGACAACCGTCTGTAACTCCAGTTCCAGGGGATCCGACAGCCTCTTCTGTCCCCTGCGGGCATTGCACAACATGGGTGCACTTACTTACATGCAGGCGATACATGTGTACACATAAAAAATAAATAAAAAATAATAAAAAAAGAAAATATTCTTTAAAAAAATCACCCCAAGAGCCGGGCGTGGTGGCGCATGCCTTTAATCCTGTGAGTTCACGGCCAGCCTGGTCTACACAGTGAGTTCCAGGACAGCTGGAGCTACAGGGAGACCCTGTCTCAAAAAGACCTAAAAAAAAAAACAAACAAAAAAAAAACACCCCACGTATGCTATAAATTCAGAGGTTTTTATTAAAAATATTTTATTATTTTATGTGTATGAGTGTACTGCCTGCAAGTATGCATTGTACCCATGTCGTGCAGTACCTGCGGAGGTCAGGAGAGTATCAGATTCCCCTAGAACCGGAGTAACGGATGTTTGTTAGTTGCCATGTGGGTGCTGGGAAATGAATCTGGGTCCTCTGCAAGAGTGGCCTGTGCTCTTAACCACTGGGCCATCTCCCCAGCCTGGAATTCAGACGTTTTCTAACTTAACATAATAAACAAATATTATTAAAAACAAATTGCTCTTAGGTATTGCCTAACAATGTACATTTCTACTAAGTTCCCAAGTGATGCTGCTGCTGATCTGAGCACCAAGATTTGAGAACCTCTGAACTAATTAAACTATTACCAAATCTGGTTTGAGGCTTTAACTGATCAGCTAAACGAAAGGGTCAGACCCAAAGACCTCAAGACAGCTCACAGGGTTAACTTGAACAATGAAGAACACAAACCGGATCTTGAGACATATCTCCAGAAACGGCTCCAGACCAGAGAAGAAAAGAGGTTCATTCTAAAGCTCTTCCTTTCTAATAGAAGGCAAATCAAGTTCACCAAAGAAGTTCAACATGCACTTGCTTAGTTTGTAGTTTAAAAAACATTAATTCATTCTCTCTCCTTCTCTCTCCTCTCTCCTCCTCCCTCTCCCGCTCCCTCTCCCCCCCCTCCTCCCTCTCCCTCTCCTCCTTCTTCCCATCCTCCCTCCTCCCTCTCTCTTTCCCTCCCTCTCTCTCCAGAGTCTCACTAGGTAGCACTGCCTGGCCTGGAACTTGTTTTATTATGTCTACCATGCTGGCCTCAAACTCACAGACATCCACCTACCTCTGCCTCCCGAGAGCTGGGCTTAAAAGAATGTACCACCACACCCTGTTAAAACATATTTACGGTGCCAGGCACGACGGTGCACGCATTTAATCCCAGCACTTGGGAGGCAGAGGCATGTGGATCTCTGGGAGTTCAAGACCAGCCTGGTCTACATAGTGAGTTCCAGGCCAGCTGGGGCTAACAACCAAAAAAACCTCCCAAACAGAAAAACACATTTAGGATAAAAAACTAGCCAGGCGTGGTGGCGCAAGCCTTTAGTCCCAGCACTCAGGAGGCAGGTGGATCTCTGAGTTTAAGGACAGCCTGGTCTATATAGTGAGTTCCAGGCCAGCTGGGGCTACAGGAAGACCCTGTCTCAAAAAGACACCTCCCCCTCAAAAAAAAATTAGGGTAAAAAACCAATTCTGAATCAAAATGGGATATGCTTCAAATTTACATGACAGGGCTGGAGAGATGGCTCAGCGGTTAAGAGCACTGACTGCTCTTGCAGAGGACCTGGGTTCAATTCCCAGCACTCACGTGGCATCTATGAACCGTCCTTAACTCAAGTTCCAGGGGAAACCAAAGCCCTCTTCTGACCTTTGCGGCACTGCACAAACACGGGTGCACTCACATATATGCAGGCAATACACTTGTACACATAAAAATAATAAAATATTTACATGGCATATGAAATACTTAAATACTTAGGTAGTGTTGATATTCCTGTGGTAATTACAAATGCATTAATAATATAAGGGGCTCAATGAAGCAAAACACCCTATGTTGTTCTTTGCCTAAGCATTTAGGATGCTCTCCCCAGAAGGGGCTTTGGCCCAGCCTTCCATGTCTTCCAAAGTCTTTCCTGCTAAACTTGTTTCTGAGGCCTATCAGGAGCAGAAGGCCTGTACCTCCGTCAGGTCACTGTTCGGGAGAATGGCCAGGTCAGGCCTCAGGCAGCAGCTGTTTAGCACTGAATTGTATCTGAGGGACACAAAGAGACATGGAATCAGGGACTTGGTAAGAGCAGAGCCTGCTGATGCCTTGCCTCACACATGGCCAAGATTGAAAGGATGACAGAAACCAAAATTTCTTACCTTTCTTCATCAAATTCCTTCCCAAAGAGGATGTTGTCTCTAAGAGTGGCATTGAGAATCCAGGCCTGCTGGGCCACATATGCAAAAGTTCCATTGATTGCAATGCTGCCCTCTAGAAGTGTCATCTAGGGAGATGGACACCACCAGTGTCATAAGACAAAATCATCATCCTAAACCAACAGACAGTTGCCCCCCGCCCCCCATTCTGCCTTGTGCTGGATAGCTTTGGTGTCAACTTGACACACCTGGGTTGAGGGATCCTCAATTTGGGAATTGCCTCCATTGGACTGGCCTGAGGCCATGTCTGTGGGGCATTTTCTTGACTGTTGTGTGATGTGAGAGGGCCCAGCCCACTTTGAGTAGTGCCACCCCTGGGCAGCTGGGCCTGTGTTGGATAAGAGAGCAAGCTGAGTAGGGGCCAAGGAAGCAAGCCAGTAAGCAGCATTCCTCCATGGCCTGTGCCTCAGCTCCTGCTTCCAGGTTCCTGCCCTGAGTTCCTACCTTGGGCTCCCTGATGAACTACGACCTGGGACATATAAGCTGAATAAACCCTTTCCTCCCCAAGTTGGTAGTGGTCAGAGTGTTTTGTCACAGCAATGAAGAAACAAACTAGGACAGCCATGGAATCTAAAGATTTGGCAATTTCTAGGATGCTTTTATGGATTTAAGTCCAGACCACATCTTTGTTCCAAAGAGAGCTACAGCAACAAAGAAAATCAAAGTTCTCCTTATTTATATGAGATGGGAGCCCAGGATAATCCATAACTAGACTATAGGCACACACTTCACTCAGAAGCTTACTGGATGTTTTATACTTTTTCCATCTGAAAACAAGTCTCACTGTGAAAATATAGAAAGAAGGCCCTTTCAAAAGTTCACTGGGGACTGTCTGAGAGCCCCTGGATCCTGCCTCCATGTGGTTCTATCAAAATACCTGAAAGCAAATCCTGAATCCATCACTGTAGAGTCTAGCCTTGGAAGACAAAAGAAAAATGAGGAAGAACCCAATAGAGGGATGCTTTTGGAAGCTCTAGTCAAGAAATTCCAATGGACTCTCATGTGAACATTTAAAAACTGTCCTGTTCTTTTTTCTAGTTCCCTGTCTAGAACTTATAATGCTAATTACTCTTGCCTTTACTTCTCCTTCACATCTCCTATTCATGATTCAAGGACTTTCTTTTCCCCTTAGAGATAAGAGTTATGCAATTTGGGAGTCTTTTAGACCCACTGAAGCAGTACTCCAAATGCTTCACCCTGCATCCTTGTTCAGCATGGAAGAAGCCAGAGCGGTCTGAGGCCCGAGTCCCTATTGGCAATTTGGATAACTCCTCAGAAGACGGTGTGATAAGAATAGGAGGTAGGAATTGGCTAGGCAGTTAGGGTAAAAAGACCCCAAAGAAAAGTAGCCAGTTTCTTGGCTAAAAGTCAAAATGTCCTTGGGACTGTTAGCAATATACTCTGGTCCAAAGGCCAAAAAATGTCAAAAGTATTTGGGAGCTAATATCTAATCCTTAAAAGATTTTAGGGTTACCTCTTCAGAGGGGAGAATGTTAGAGTACCCAAAAGCCCCATAAAAATGAATAAATGAAAGAAGAAGAAAAAAGAAAGAAAAAGAAAAAAGTGATGGGGAGGTATGGGAGGTGTTAGAAGAGAGACAGCGGGCATGGATTTGATCAAAACACCTTATATTGCATGTATGGAATTCTCAATAAAGTTTTTGTAAAAGTTAAAAAAAAAGTTCCCCGGGGAGGGTGCCCTAAATATTTACAGCTAGAGCCTGCCTAGCTATAGGTGGGTCAATGAGGGTGGGTCAATTCATCTACAGAATTCTTCTAAGATATTGGCTTCTGTAACATGAGGATCAGAGAGAAAATAAAATTCCAGGCTAGACACCAACTCATAGGATACAACATCCACATAAAAATGATGGAACTTTCCTCCAACATGAAGGGACTGCATGATGTCCCATGTGCTTTTATATTTTCTGTAGCAGTTTGATACAAACTGATTTGTCCATTTTATCATGGGTTCTTTTTGTTTTTTTGTTTGTTTTGGAGACAGGGTCTCCCTCTAGCCCCAGACAGGATGGCCTTGAACTCACAAGAGATCTGCCTGCCTCTGCCTCCTGGTTTGCGCCACCACGGCTATCATGGGTTCTTTTTGAGACCAACAATAGACATCTATTTTGGATTAAGGATGCTATAGCTTTGAAGCAGTTTCATTAATCAGCCCATGTAGTGCTTGCACAAATAAGCTTGTCCCTGTGAACACCATCACATGCAGTGAATGGTGACCAACATAGGCAAACCACCCTGAAACTGGCAAGCAATCTACCGTGCACATCAAAGTGTTCAGAAATCTACCTCTCTTGACTGCTGCTACAAACAGTCACATACAACACTGTCGGTCAAGAGTTAAACTCTAGGGGTCAGGGGGCTGCTCTGTATCATGAGCTTCCCTATCAGAAGGGCTGCCAGGATTTGGTCCATAAACTAAGTCCCACTTGGCTTTGAACTTAGCACTGCCTAGTTAACATCTGAAAAAGCAGCATCTTGCTATACCAGTGAGTAGCACTTTAAAAAGACTTCTTCCTACTTCTCCTTTCCTAGTCTCATCACTGGTCCTCAAATTTAGGGGATTATGAGAAATCGCCTGTCAGGACTTGTGATTTTTACGAAGACTACAACTGGACCCAAGGACTAGAGTGTATAATAGGAGGACCATAGCACACTATGGTGGTTGGTACCTTACAAGACAGGGAAATAGTCCCTAGCATACAGGCTCCACTGTCCTCAACATGGAGTGATTTGGGAGACCTCATCTGCCAGGAGCTAGTAATAATCCCATGTTAAATCATCTACATCAAGCTCTTTAAATTGAGTTAAAAACATATAGGTACTTTTGTTTCTTTTTGATTATTGGGTTCTAAACACACAGACAAGCTGTACACCTTTTCTCCCTCACTCTCAGTGCTGACATCTGCCCGTCTCCTCTGTGGACTGTTGACTCACTGACTTGTGATGTGCCTCCGTATCTGGAGAGCTGCCTTTTTATGGAAATGAACTCCCCAAAGGAGTAACGATCTCAGAGATTAGGTTGAAGATCAAGTGAGGTTGTACTTCTGAATCAAATTCTGGTAGTTCACTTAAATGCTCTGTGGCAGTGTGCGGTGTTCGGTCATCTCTCTTCTCTGCTACTTCCATTTCTAGCATACCTATAGCATTCAGTAAGTACCTCCTAGATAAGAAAAGGAACAGGAAACAAATAAACCATGTAGGGCATCTATTGGCTACACATCAGGTGCACTCTTCCAGATACAAGGCCTTTAAGGGTGGAGATGGGGGGCATGACACAAACCATAGTCTCTTTGTTTCTACCTCTCCTGACTCTTCAGCAAATATGTTAGCTTTTCCTGAGACATTTGCTGAGCAGAGCCCTGAGAAATAAACAGAAAATGCCAAAGAAATAACACAAATCTTACCTGGCCTAAAATGGCTGAAATGAGAGATGTTTTTCCACTTCCCACACTGCCACAGACTCCAACCAGTTTACCCTGGACAAAGCAAAAGGTGAGAAGAAGGACATCAAAAGACTACCAGCCACTCACCCTAAGGACCTGCAATTTCTTTGAGGAAAAATGCATTCGCCTATCAACACAGGAACTGTCATCCCAAAGATCAACAAGCCACTCACCTTTCAGCTGCCTGCTTCATATAGAAGCCCTTTGGGATGAATAATTAGCATAAAAACACATTATGGTATTCTACAATCGCTATAGGAAAAGCTGAAGCTGCTTGTCAACTTTGTAGATAATCTAAGTGTTTTTTTTTTTTTTTTTTTTTTTTTTTTTTTTTTTTTGAAGCAGGGCCTCCCTGTAGCCCCAGCTGGCCTGGAACTCACTATGTAGACCAGGCTGGCCTTGAACTCACAGAGATCCACCTGCCTCTGCCTCCCAAGTGCTGTGATGAAAGGCATGAGCCACCATGCCTGGCTAAACCAATTGTTTAATATATTTCTTTTTTAAAAAAACATTTTATTTATTGTTTTATTTTATATGTATGAGTGTATTGCCTGCATGTATTTAAGTGCACTTATGTCATGCAAGGCCCATCGGAAGAGGGTGTTGGAGCTCCTGGAACTGGAGTTATGGATAGTTGTTAGCTGCCATGTAGGTGCTGGGAATTGAACCTGGGTCCTCTGCAAGAGCAGCCAGTGCTCTTAATCACTGAGCCATCCCTAAAATGTATTTTGTTTTTAAAAAAATATTTATTTTTATTTTATGTGTATGAGTGCAATGCCTGTGTGTAGATGGGTGCACCTGTGTTGTACAATGTCAGAGGAAGTCAGAAGAGGGTGTCGGATCCCCTAGAATTGGAGTTATGGATGGTTGTTAGGTGCCATATGGGTGCTGGGAATCAAACCTAGGTCCTCTGCAAGAGCAGCCAATGCTCTTAACCACTGAGCTATCTCTCCAGTCCCCTAAAACATATTTCTTATATATCATTTTTTTCCTGCAAAATATTTTCAAAAATCTGAGGAATGCCATCAATCCCAAATAAAAATAAAAAAGCAAGGGGCTGGAGAGATGGCTCAGAGGTTAAGAGCACTGACTACTCTTGCAGAGGACCCAGGTTCGATTCCCAGCACCCACATGGCAGCTATAAACCATCCTTAAGTCCAGTTCCAGGGGAATCCGAAGCCCTCTTCTGACCTCTGCGGCATTGCACGACACAGGTGCACACAGATACATGCAGGTAATACATTCATGCACATAAAATAAAAATAATAAATAAAATGTTAAAAAAATACAAAAGCAAGTCTGTGATTATCTAAATACAGTCATCTTAAAAGTACTCCCAGGAGACTGATTTCAAGACCCAAAAGGATATCAAAATCTTCAAGTGCTCAAGCTCTCTGTAGAAGATCTTTGTAGAAGTATTTGCGTAACCTGCATATACCCTCCAAGTGACTTTGAGTCACCTCTAGATCATATATAAAATATAATAGAGGGGTTGGAGGATGGCTTAGCAATTAAGAGCAGCGGATGCTCTTGCAGAGGACCCAGTTTCAATCCTCAGCACCCACATGGCAGCTAACAACCATCTGTAACTCCAGTTCCAGGGGATTTGACTCCCTCTTCTGACCTCTGCAGACAATGCACAGGAGTGCACTTATACACATGCAGACAATATACACATAAGCGTTTTTATTTAAAAAACATGTAATATAATATATATAATAGTTGCTATATATTAAGGAATAATAACAAGAAAAAAAGTTGTGCATGCTCAGAAGATACAACTGTTTCCCAAAATATGTCTATGTGTGGTTGATTTGAATGTATAGATTTGCAACCACAGACACAGATATCTAACTGTATACTCAGGTAAGATGATGAGTTCCCAATCAGTAGTGTGGTAAGTTTTCAAAAACAGTTGACTTTTAAAAAGGGCAATTTGAAGCTAGGTATGGTGGGGTGCTTGCCTTTAATCACATCACTCAGGAGGAGGAGGAGGAGGAGAAGGCTATCTCTGATGGTGAGGTTATGTTTTTTGGAGAGAACAAAAGGATCTTGTTTTTTTATCTAGTCTGTGTTTTTTTATTGGGAACTTAAGACTGTTAATATTGAGAGCTATTATTGAACAATGTGTACTAATTCCTGTTATTTTGTTGTGTTTTTTTCTTAGACCTTTGTTCTGGAACTGTTTATTTATTCTCTGTGATCTCTTAGATGTAACTAATCTTCTCTTCAAACTTAAGTATTCCTTCCAGTATTTTCCATTGAGCTGGATTAGTGGTCATAAATTCCTTAAATCTGTTTTTATCATGGAAAGTTTTTCTTTCTCTTTCAATTACAACTGATAGTTTTGCTGGGTATAACAGCCTCAGCTGCACCCGTGGGGTTTAAGAACTTGTAGGACACCAATCCATACCCTCCTAGCTTTCAAAGTCCCCACTGAAAAGTCAGGCGTTCTTCTGATGGGCCTTACTTTGTTTGTGATTTGGTCTTTTTCTCTTGCTAACCACTGCATTAGTCTTCTATTATTGCAGATGAGCATTTCTCACCACCTTCATCTCTACCACCAGTGGTTGGAGACATTTTCTTCTTTCTCCTATACTAGAGGAACAGCCCATTAATGATTCTCCTTGTTTCTACTTCTGTCTCACATCCTTTACCAGCTCTTTTCCCTCTCAGGGTGAAGCCAGAATCTCTGGGGAGGCTCCAGCACCCCCCTACTTTCCATCCTCATGATTTGCCACTGTCTTCTGTACTCGTCCTGCTCCAGTAACCACCGTGATCCAGATGTAGAGCCTATGTGCCTTGTTCTTTAGCTTGGTATGTTCCTCTTCCCCTAGATAAATGCATGGCCCACTCTCTCAGGTCTTTGCTCGCACATTATTTGTCATCATCCAGTCCTTTTTATTTGAGATAGGGTGTCACTATGTAGCCAGGCTCATCTCAAATTCATAGTGATTTTCCTGCCTCAGCCTCCTGAGAGCTGAGATTATGTACTTTTGTTATGGCTAATCTTGGATGTCAACTTGACACACCTAGAAAGAGAGACTTCTTCCATCAGACTGACCTGTGGGTCTTTTATGGGGGGCATTTTCTTGATTGTTAATTGGTGTTGGAGGGCCCAGCCCATTGTGGTGTCATCCCTAGGCAGGTGGGCCTGGGCAGTATAAGAAAGGTAGCTGAACATGAGTCTGAAGGCAATTCGGTAAGCAACATTCCACCAAGGTCTCTGCTTCAGTTCCTGCTTGAGCTCCTGCCCTGGCTTCTACTGATGATGGACTGTAACCTGTAAGCTGAAATAAACCCTTACCTCTTCAAGCTGCTTTTGGTCATGGTGTTTATCACAGCAAACAAACAAACAAACAACAACAAAAAAAAAACCAAAAGAAAAAAAAAAAACTAAAAAAAAACAACCAAAATAGAACATACCACCAAATCTGGCTAAACAGTCAAGGGTCTTCTTTTTCTTTCTTTTTTCTTATGGGGGGGTGGGGGGGGATAGAGTGCCATTGTATAATCCTGGCTAGCCTAGCACACACTATGTAAACCATGCTGGCTTCAAACTCACAGAGATCAGCTTGCCTCTACCTCCCAAAGTGCTGGAATTAAAGGTGTGTGCCACCACTTCCACCAGGCTAAAATAGTCTTTAAATGATGCCTTGCCAACCTGTTGAAACTGCAACCACAACAGTTCCCATCCCAGTCCTCTGTGCCTTTCACAATCTGACAAACAATATATTTGACTTGTTTGTTGTCTAGAATATAAACTCCAGGGTAGGGATTTTTTTTTTTTTTGAGACAGGGTCTCCCTGCAGCCCCAGCTGGTCAAGAACTCACTACGTAGACCAGGCTGGCCTGGATCTCACAGAGATCTGCCTATCTCTGCCTCCTGAGCGTTGGATTAAAGGCGTGTACTACCACACCTGGTGTCTTTGTTGCTGTATTCCCAGTCCTTCATTAGTGCCCAGGAAAGAGTGGCACAAAAAAAAAAAAAAAAAAAAAAAAGGCTGTTGAATGAATGAATATATACATACACACAACATCTGGAGTTCCCAGATGATCTGGTTCTCTGAACATGAAACTAGTTCCCAGTCAGTCTGTATCTTACAAACCTTGAACCTGGAGTCTCTGTCCCTTCTGAGAGTCCAGGTCTATACTACCTGAGCTATGACATCATACCCAAAATCATCCTTTAAAATAAATGATCTCAGCCAGGTATGGTGGCACATGCCTTTAATCCCAGCACTAGGAGGCAGAGGCAGGCAAATCTCTGAGTTCCAGGCCAGCTGGGGCTACAGGGAAACCCTGTCTCAAAAAGACCAGAAAAAAATAAAAAAATAAAAAAAAAATCACAAGATCACAATATAGTATGGAGCTGTAGAGATGGCTCTGAAGTTAAGAGCATTTGCTGCTCTTGCAGAGAACTGGAGTTTGGTTCCTAGCACCCACTTCAGGCAGCTTCCAACTGCCTGTAATTCCAGTTCCAGGGGATCTGACATCATCTCTGCCCTACCTTCTGCCAGTTCCTGCACTCATGTCCATATACCCATACATACAAATGTAAAAATTTTTGAAAAGCAGCACTGAGAATACCTCTTTTTTTTTTTTAAGTATATAAAAACATTTATTCATTAGTCAGATGAGCTAGTTAAGAGAAATGCCTTGCAATTTAAAGATTATGTGTTAAAAACAAGGAGGCAACAAACATTTCACAAGGGGAATGGAGCTGGAATCCCAGATTATCCAATAAGATTCCCTGCACAGCAGGAATAGAACATGGAAGACAAGTCCTAGGACCTGTGTCTGTGGGCAGATGCTCTGTGGATGGGAGTTGAGAATATCTCTTACATGCCCAATTCTGTGTGATGCACAACCTGGTGGTCACAAAGAGCCTGCATAGTTTTAGCATTGGATGTAATTAGGAAAGCTCACATACAGCTATTACAGTCAAAAATCATCACAGAGCAGAATCTTCTAAGATTTACCAGAGTGCTTCATTTCTTTGTTGGTAAAATGTGCATCTTATGAGATCATTGGTAATTAATTCTGGTGCTAAATGCGTAAGTACTCACTTTGGAATTAGAACTGGCCCAATCCGTTCTTGGTTTAAAACTACTCCCAGCCCGAGTATTTTGCTTAAAGGAAGGATATCTGCTTATTCTTGCCAGATCCAAATGGGGGCAGTGCAGGAGATGGACCACAGGTGGGAAAGGGCTCACCTCTTCAATTTCCAAGTCAATGCTGTACAGCGTCCTCTGCAGGCGCAGGCTCCCTGTGTGGATCTGCTTGCCTTCTTCCTCTTCGGGACTGGGCCGCTCGTCACTATCCAGTAGGAGGTGTCCTTTCTGCTCTGCCAGCACCGCCTGATGCTCAGTGCATTGCAGCTGCCTCACCTTCTCTTTCTTGCCCCTGGTGGCCCTCTTGTCTTTTTTCATTTTGGGGGTGAGCTTGGGCGAGTTCTGTATACTGGAGTGGGAGGAGTCCCATGCCAAGGTGGCATTTTTCATCTCTATCTTGATGTGAGGATTGGCCGGTTTGTTCTTTATCATGTGAACCTCTTCCATTAGAAACAAACTCTGATAGGAGTTGTGAGAGAGGTGTAAAGATGAGACACTGGATCAAGACCAGGGAGACAAGCCTATGGCGTACACTCACGTAGCAAAACACATCAGGCTATACAGTGGAAGGAAGCTGAAGGGCAAAAGGTAGCTCATTAGTGTAGCCTCATCTCAGGCCCATCAAGGGGGCTCAGGAGTGTGGGGTATCTCAGGAGGTACAGGGCCTTGTCCAGTGACCCAACCCTCTATACTGTTACATGCTAAGCTACCCCTTTCTTTTTCTGTTAGCCTAATTATGGAGCAAAAGGCATTTAAGTAACTGATATGGAGCCCCTGGTACACTTTGCTCATGAGTTACTAAGTAACATGTAGAAAACCCAAATAGCACATTAACCTTCTACACAGAGTCTCATCATGCTGTTTTGGCTCTAGATTACTTCTGCTGACCCAGTGCCTGCATAGTGCCCTCACTCATGGCCTGGTACCTACTGGGAGAGGCTGAACTGGCACCAGGCTTAGGTTGCTTAGTTTGGAAAAAATACAAGGTAAGAGCCTCTGTAGAAGCAAAGGTACCTCCTGAGAAACATTTCATGGGAAGGGAGTAAGATTCTTTCCTCCCACTCATTTCCAGGGTCCCCCTGAGTCATTTCAAAGGAAAGGAAAATGGAACATTTAAACAGGGAGGTTTCTCTGAAGTTAGATCTGAAATTCTGATTTTATAATAAAACTTGAGCTCCTTTCTGACCACTCATTTAAACCAGAAATGGCTACACAACACTATTTCAGAATGCTTTTTTT